AACTGAAAGATATAGAAAATTTTATGACCCCCTGCCTGAGCCAAGGATGTAGACCAGCCGGTTCACAGACTCCAGGTTCCAGGAACTGGCTAACCACAAAGAAAAGCAGAACCAAAAATACAGGTCAGCTGGGTTGCTCCGGGAAATGGCTGACCACAAGATAATGGTTGAATAAGGTTAAATTCTTGAAAAAGATATGTACAGGATGTTTCCCACTCCCCGCCCTGGTTTATCACCAACTGAATAATGGGTTGGGACTTTCCCCTATTTTTATGGTACGGCCTGGGACTTTCCACTGTTTTTTCTTGGTTTTCCCCTCACCCCCCTGGTTCGTGGTTTTTTCCTTTAAATACCCCTCACTCCCAAGTCTTGGGGTAGAAACTCCTCTGTCCCTGCGTGGGTCACAAGTCTTGGCCTCAGCCCTGATCCCAAAATAAACCTCTTGCTGGTTGCATCAAGATGGGTCTCTTGTGAGTTTCTGGGTGGCCGTGATCTTCCCCGACTTGAGTGAGGGTCTCCCCTCGCGGGGGGGTCTTTCAGAACAATGCCAAAGACCTTACACAGAATATAGATTTAGACAGAATCTAAGTTTAGAAAGAACCAGGGTCAAAGCCTAAAACCCCCCAGGTACAGAACAGTTTAAGAGAAAAAAAAAAAAAGGAAAAGAAAACAGCTGTGGAAAATGGTTGCTTAGCAACTACAATGTCTCAGGAGGCCAGGTGTAGCCACTAGAGAGGTTTGGGGGTTGGGGAAGAGAGACAGAAAAGCTCCTGCTGTGTAGAAAAAAAAATGGCGCTTTAACCAAAACAAGCACTTCTCAGAGTTGGATGCAGACACAGATTCTTAGGCAGACAGGAGGCTAAAGAGTGTGGAGGGGGCTCTTTTAAATGGCAGAGGAGCAGAAAAACTGGTTATTCAACCTGTATGGCTCCAAACAGTTCCCAAAGCTGGATGCAATTGACTAGACAGGTGGGAGACTAAAAGAGATGGAGGAAGGCCCCAGTTGAGGGACTTGTGCTGGCCTGACACTTGCTGACCACTTCCGGTTACTCCTGGAGGGCATAAAACCACCTCTCCAGGTGAGCTAAAAGACAAAAGCAAAGCCAGTAACAGTGTGAGGCCTGAGCTAAACAGCAGAAGCCAGATACAAAAAGGCACAGAACACAGCCAAATTTCAGATCAGGTAGAAATATGCTTAAATGCTAAAAATGGAAAGAGACTGGGTATAAAAAAAAAATCATAGACATGTAAAAAGACCTAATTGAAACAAACATATTACCAGCTACGATTATTACCATGTAGGTAATACTAATCTTGAGAAGCATAATGGGGCTGGGCGGTGGTGGCATACGCCTTTAATCCCAGCACTTGGGAGGCAGAGGCAGGCGGATTTCTGAGTTCAAGAGTTCGAGGCTAGCCTGGTCTAAAGAGTGAGTTCCAGGACAGCCAGGGCTACACAGAGAAACCCTGTCTCGAAAAAGCCAAAAAAAAAAAAAAAGCATAATGGGTTTTAATACCTTCTTTTAAAAGAGGGATTAAGAGATATAAGAAAGGGAAATATATGAAAAATATAGACAGGCAATAAAAGAGAATTTAGAAAAGAATATAAATAAAATTGAGAAAGATACTAAGATAGGGACTTATACACAGAAAAACACCATAAGGTTGGAGCCTATTATACTACCATATAATAAAAATCACGAAAGTAAGCCAAAGGTTCTTAGAAAACCAACTTTAGCTTTTTCTGTTAGTGTATGACAAATGACAGCAGATGCTGCAAAACCACAAACTATAAAGAATTTAGATGGCATTCAAAAGAAAAGCTAGATTTAAAAAAGTTTAAGGATGTAACTTAAATAAGAAAAATAATCGCTAAAGGTTTTAAGAAAAACCAAACTGTCAAATGTTTTAATTATAGCAAGCAAGGCCATTTAAAAAGCTTCATAGCTGGGAAGTCCTGCAGCCAAACACAGGTCACATTCAAACAGTAACTGTTGTTAATGTAAAGAGGCCATGATTAGAGAACAATATGGGGGTCTATGGGAGGGATGGAGGCAGGGAAGACATGGAGGAGGAAAGATGTAATTATATCTCAAATAATTGCTTTTAAAAGTTTAACCAGACTTTATGGCCATGTGCTCCAGGGGCTTGAGATTTCAATTAGAGCACACCAAATATGAGTCATACCTTTTCTCTCAGGCTGAACATCTTAAAACTGGAAAATAACAGTCCTGTTAGGCAGGCCAACACCATTTTACCCAGATCTTCTATTTCAGTTGAACTAGTGTAACTACAATCATCTGGTTTCACAGTAAGTTCAGTTTTGTTTTTTAATCCAGATCCTTTATTGCCTGATCTGTGGACCCGAGGAATGGCCAGTCAGGAGACTGATTATCTAAAATTGATTACCTCACTACTCCTTGATAATGTCAACAACTGTCAACGTAGGAAACTTTTGCCCTCCTTCTTGTCCATCCCTGTCTGTGCTGTGACTACACCAGCTTCAAAGTTGGTCACAGAACTCAATTCTTGCACAGGCCACTCTTCATTTGTAAGTTCCAGTAAAACCCAGAGAAGCTGAAGGACACTCACTCACTGACCTAGCAATTCTCAATTGCCTACCATGAGGCAAACCTGAACTAAAATAGACACTCCTCTAAACAAAAATAAATAATCAACAGTACTTGAGAAAGATGAAAATTCATAATGACTATGGAACACTGGAGAATAAAAACAAATAAGAGAACAGGGAACAGTGATTCATTTAAAGAAAATCAAATTTAAAAGCTGAAATCAATAATTGTCTTTTTTAATAAGAATAATTTTTAAAATAGGTACAGTGACTTTGGAAAAGCAGTAAACCTCAGAATAAGGCTGCTTTTGCCTCTGAGCAGACTAGTTCAGAGGAAAGCAACAGCTGCTTACAGAGAGAACTACAAGGAGTTCATGTCAACTAGCCCTGGCTGCTGTCTGTCCCAGGACTACGATGTCACTGCAGAAAATTATATACTTTTAAAGTGCTTTATTTATTTATTTATTTATTTATTTATTTATTTATTTAAGATTCATTTTAATGTATGTGAGTACACCTTCACTGTTTTCAAACACACCAGAAGACGGCATCAGGTCCCATTAGAGATGGTTGTGAGCCATCAGATGGTTGCTGTGAATTGAATTCAGGACCTCTGGAAGAGCAGTCAGTGCTCTTAATTGGTGAGTCATCTAACCAGCCCTGAGATAGTTACATTTTTTAAGCTTTATTTTTATTTTATGAGTAGGGATAGTTCCTGCTGAGATAGAACAAAGGCTACATTACTTAATCCACCACTGTTAGGCTTCAGGTGTTAATCATTTAAGTCAGAGGCTTTTAACCTTCAGAATTAGCAAGAACGTTTTTAGGACCTTTTAGAAGTATCATCAGCACTCAGAGAGCTAGATCATGGGGAGACCCTCAGCCTTTAAAGCTACACCAGAGTCCCACTCTGTGCCTCATTTCAACCCACTCCAGGCCTTGTCAATCCCTTTCTGTGCTGTGACTACACCAGCTCCAAACTTGGTCACAGAACTCAATTCTGTGACTCAATTCCTCCAGGAGGCTCCCAGCAGAGCAGTGATGAAGACATAATGCAATTAATTCATCCTTGGGGTCCTAACAGGTTTAAATAGAAGGAAGGTAAGAGATATGAACAAGGATATAATCTAACCAAGCCATGTAATGAATTCTTTCCTTTCCGTAAATCCCTCCCTCATTCTCAGCTCCTTTCTATTCAGAAAGGTGTTCAGATGAGATAATTTATTCAGCAGACATTCTTATCTGAAGGAATCAATCTTTTCCCAGAATGAAGATTCCAGGGTAAATTTGAATTTTGTGCAGTCCACTATTTCACTAGATGTTTGCCTCAGAGAGAGTTATAAATGCCTCTGAGAATATTCTTATTCCTACCAAGCAGGCAGGCTACAGGATGACACAGTGGGGATTGAGGTGCTTTGAGACCACAAAGCAGGGACCTGAAGGGTGCTGTCACTGACAGCTACATACAGTTGCCCAGAAAAGGAAAGAGTGGGAGACCTGGAGGGGGCTGACCCACCACAGCTGAGAGGACACAAAGAATACTGTAGAAGACAGCTTATCCTCAGGTATACCCCCAAGCATTGCTCTGGCTGTTGAATCCTTTCTTTCACATCCAAAGCTCCTTCTCCCTAATAGTTTTTCCATACTCCACAGCTCTTTGCAAATGCCCGATTTCCCCAGTCTTAGAGGAATCTGTTTGAACCTAGGTTCCCCTAATAACTTCAAAACCATCTGAAGTCACCACCACTCAGGGCTTCTGACTGAGTGTTTTGAAGGTATCAGGGAAGCAGACTATGCTCAAGATATCAGTTATGTGTTCTTTTATGAATCTGGAGACTACTTTGACCTGCAAAGTGTTTACCACATTGATTACATTCTCTCCAGTATGAATTATTTCATGCTTTTGAAGAAGATCATGAGAGGCAAAGGATTTACCACATTGCTTCCATTGATAAGGTTTCTCTGCAGTATGTGTTCTTTTATGTATTTGAAGATGACTATGATATACAAAGGCTTTACCACACCGGATACATTCATAAGGTTTGTTTCCAGTATGTGTTTTTTATGGGTTTCAGGACTTCATGATTGTGAATAGAATTTACCACACTGATTACATTCATAGGGTATCTCTCCAGTATGTGATCTTTTATGATTTTGAAGCCTACTATGACAGGCAAAGACTTTACCACATTGATTACATCTCTAAGGTTTCTCTCCAGTATGAAATATTTCATGCCTTTGAAGTTGACCATGAGACACAAAGGATTTACCACATTGCTTACATTCATAAGTTTTCTCTCCAGTAAGTGTTCTTTTATATATTTGTAGAAAAATTGTTTTGAATAGGCTTTATCACATTGATAACCCTTGTAGGGTTTCTCTCCAATGTGAGTTCTTTTATGTATTCAAAGACTATTACTACATGCAAAGGCATTACTGCATTGGTTATGTTCTTAGGATTTCTCTCCAGAATGTGTTCTTTTATGGTTTTGGAGATGTCTTTGTCGGGAATAGGCTTTATCACATTGATTACACTTGTAGGGTTTCTCTCCTGTATGTATTCTATTATGTTTTCGAAGATTACTTGGACATGCAAAGGCTTTACCACATTGATTACATTCAAAAGGTTTCTCTCCAGTATGTGTTCTTTTATGCCTGTGAAGACTACTATGACATGGAAAGGCTTTACCACATTGATTACATCCAAAGGGTTTCTCTCCAGTGTGTGTTCTTTTATGCCTGTGAAGTTTACTACGACATGGAAAAGCTTTACCACATTGATTACACTTGTAGGGTTTCTCTCCAGTATGTGTTCTTCTATGACTATGAAGGGTACTATGACGGGCAAAGGTTTTACCACATTGTTTACATTCATAGGGTTTCTCTCCTGTATGTGTTCTTTTATGTATCTGAAGATAACCATGACATGTAAAGGCTTTACCACATTGATTACATTCATGTTTCTTTCCAGTATGGGTTCTTTTATGTATTTGGAGACAGACTTGTTTTGAATAGGCTTTATCACATTGATTACACTTGTAAGGTTTCTCTCCAGTATGTGTTTCCTTATGATGGTAAAGACTACTATGACATGCAAAGGCTTTACCACATTGCTTACATTGATAAGGTTTCTCTCCAGTATGTGTCCTTTTATGTATTTGGAGATGACTATTTTGGGAATATGCTTTATCACATTGATTACACTTGTAAGGTTTCTCTCCAGTATGTGATCTTTTATGTATTCGAAGATTACTTTGATATGCAAAGACTTTACCGCACTGATTACATTCATAGGACTTCTCTCCAGTGTGTGTTCTTTTATGTCTTCTGAGACAACTCTGTATTGAAAAGGCTTCATCACATCCATTACATTTGTGGAGTTTCTCTCTAGTATGTGTTCTTTTATGTATTTGGAGAGTACTGTGATGTGCAAAGGATTCACCATATTGAATAACTTCATAAGATTTTTTTCCAGTATGAATTCTTTCATGCCTTTGCAGATAACCGTGACAGGACAAGGTTTTTCCACACTTAGTATATTCAGGGGGTTTCTTTCCACTACGACTTCTTCTGTGCCTGCCAAGAAAATTGGCACATGTGAAAGCTTTACCACATTCATTACACTGAAGTAGCTTTATACCTGTAAAAATTAATTTTACAATTTAGTCTAGTTGTAAAAAATAATCAGATCATAAGGTCTTATCACTTTGCTTCCCCTTCATTATGGGTTGTTTTGAGTCTTTAAAGATGCCTGTAATGGTAAACACATTTACTACATGGCTCACATTTGTAGCATGCTTTTTCTCTATGAGATTTTTCACATATTTGAAGAGAACTAAAGGATGAGAGAGCTCTGAGGCTTCCCACAATGAGTGCATTCAAAAATGTTTCTGTAGTATGATATACACTACATTTCCATTTTATATTTGCAAAGTGAACAAGCACACAAAAAGAACTTCCACATTCCTAGTACTCCTAGGGATTTTCTGCAATGTGAGTATTTGGATATATTCACAATGAAATAGAAAAACAAACTACTTACAAACTTTCAGAAAGTCTACTCAAATGGGGACTATCTTTTAATTATTCTGGGACAGAGAGAGGTACATTGCTTCTTTTCCTATCTCTACACTTTCATCGTTTGTATCTATTTACACAGGATATACCTATTCAAAGTAAAACAAATAAAAGATTTCCACATTGCATTCACATGGTTTGATTTGTAGATCATCAGACACATGTGGTAAAGGGATTAAAATGTCCCGCCAACAACAGTCTCGACTCTCATGAACTGCTCCTCTCACTAAACTTAGGAAGGTTACTATAAGTATGTGAGTAACACCAGCTTTATTATTACTATGGAATATTTGCTTATTAGAAGGTTTTGGACATATACACATATTCAATGAATACATCGTTTGTAATATGTGAGTGGTATTAGTCTAAACAGATTGGCAGTTCACCAGAATACCTGCAATGTGGCTGTGATTTACATAATAATATCTGTTAAGGCATTGTTTCCTTGTCTTCTTTCTTAGAGGAATGCCTTGCAAACACAAAATGGACACCTGACATTGAGGCATATGGATTTGTGAGTTTTTAATACTCATCAATACACTTAAGAAGTACTTTTTGTATAGTGCTGCTTTTCTTTAAAACTTCCAGGACACATTAAAATTTCTTTAAGGCATATTCATACCAACTTGCACATGAAAATTACCTTGTATGTCTTCTAGAACTTTGACAATGGTCTTCAATATTATGGTCTTGCCAATTGTAGCCTAAAATATAGTACCACAAGAGGTATGATATATTAGTGTAAATTAGGCAAAATTTAGCTTACTGGTTTTAGTGAACCTGATTTATTCACCTTATTCTCAATTGAAATTGCAGAAGAGCATCAGTCACAAAGAAACAGTTGTTCCCTCATTTGAAAAAGTGAAAGAAAATTCAGTGTCTTACCTATAGCAGTGAGGTTCCTGTAGGTCTCCAGCATCACATCTTTGTAGAGACTCTTCTGTGAAGGATCCAGCAACGCCCATTCTTCTCCAGTGAAGTTCATATACACATCATCATAGGTTAGGGCATCCTAAAATATCCCACACATGTGTTCAACAGAAACCATGCCATCTCAAGTTATATTTTCCACATCCCTCCAAAAGAGCATTCTTAAGTTCTGTCCAGCAGCAAAATAACTTGTTGCTTACCCTTTTTGTTGTTGTTTAATTTTTTTCTTTTTTGTTCTAGCTTGTTAATTTGAAATGGCTATGACTGAATCTTCTAACCAAAGGCATCTCAGATCTCAGGTAATGAACAAGTTCACTTGTTTGATCCTGTCAGATCACAGTGCATCATTTTGAGAGTTTAGGATTGAAACTCAAGCTTCAAAAAGGAAGAAAAAAAACATGGACAAATATTGTTTCCTGCCTTGCCCTCTTGCTTGGTCACTGTCTCATGCTCAGCTAGTCTCTCACCCAGCCCAGGCCACTTACATAGGTATATTGCTACCCTCAATGGAAATATCGTCCCACATCAATCATCACTCCACACAATCTCTCACTGACACAGCATCCAGCCACTTTGATGAGAGCATGCCTCTAGTGAGGATCCTTCAGATGACTGTAGACACTAAAATGTTGACAACTGAAGCTAATTAGGACATACAGACAATAATATATGAGAAAGTTTTAAAAACCCAAATCCAATGTCTTAACCATATCAATCACTTCAGTAGCAAAAATCCAAACATTGATGATTGCAAGAACTGGAAAGCACAGATTTGCCAAGAAATGAGGAGAGGCAAGTCTTCAGGATAAGAAAGAGGAAACTAAAACTGTTTCTCCACAGAAAGTCCCCAAACTATCAAAAACTCAAGAAATTTATAACATGGAATAGTAAATGTGCAGAAGACAAAAACAGGTGAAGGTCTATCATTTCCTAGGGAAACAATAATAGAATTAGATTATAATGAATAAAATCACACAACATGGATGGTACCACTGATAAAAGGAGACAGAAAGACAGACTGACCTATCAGCTTTCTAAACAACAACTACAAGGTTATGTGTATGTGTGTGTGTGTATATATATATATATATATATATATATATATACATATTTTTAATTAATTTTTTAGTTTTCGAGACAAAGTTTCTCTGTGTAGCCCTGGCTGTCCTGGAACTCACTCTGTAGACCAGGCTGGCCTTGAACTCAGAAATCCGCCTGCCTCTGCCTCCCAAGTGCTAAGATTAAAGGCGTGAGCCACCACTGCCCAGCTATAATTTTAAAAAAATCAAGGAAATTACAGCCCAGCACTCATCCTGTGCACCCTGTTTATCCTCTTTGTCAATAAGTGGAAATGGACTGGAAAGTGGCAAAAAGCCAGTCAACTGGACAAAAAAGTAGCCTAAGGAATTGCAATTTTTTAAAAACCAAATCCACATTGTATAGAAGCCTAATATACAAAATATATGAAGAATTCAAGGAATAAGATTTTCCAATACAAAAAAATCCTATTTAAAAATGGGTATAGATTTTATAATATTTTCAGGAACCATTCATAAGTAGATAATCATAGTAACATTTAATTAGCTATGTGAACTTGTCACCACTATGAGGACATTTACAGATGTGATTAATAAATCAGTGGATTCCAGAATATAGATTTCTGTCTCCACTTCTGTGGGATATTTTGTAGTCCTTCTATGTTCTAAAAGAATAAGCAGTGAAGAAAAGTAAAAAAAAAAAAAAAAAAAAAAATGGCGTATAGCTCTAAATATAGAATTCTGAACAGAGAAATCTCAAATGGCCGAGAAAGACTTAAAGAAATCTTCACCATATTAGCCATCAGGGAAATGCAAATCAAAACTATTTTGAGAATCCATCTTAACCATCAGAATGGCTAAGGTTAACAATACATCAACAAGTAACAGCTCATGCTGGTGAGGAAAAGGAGAAAGGGAACCATCCTCCTATCCTGTGGTAGCGTAAAACAGCCACTATGAAAAATCAGTATTTCCTCAGAATCCTGATTCCTCAGAAAACTTAGAATCCATCTACCTAATGACCCAGTTATACTGACTGCTCTCGGGCATCTATCCAAAAAGTGCTGAATCCTCCCATGAGGACATGTGCTCAAACATGTTCATAGCATATTTATCCATAGTAGCCAGAAACTGGAAACAACCTAGATTTCCCTCAACTGAAGAATGGACTTAAAAAAAGAAAGAAAGAAAGAGAAGTGGCACACATATGCAAACTCAGCTGTTTTTTTTAAATGACATCATGAATTTACAGGCAAGTGAATACAACTAGAAAAAAAAAAACACCCTAAGTGAGGTAACCCAGATCCCGAATGACTGATATGGTATGCATTCACTTATAAATGGATATCATCTATCTGGTACATAATAACCAAGCTACACTCCAGAAACCTAGAGAGGTTGGTAAAAGGAGGGACTTGGGAAGAGGCATACATGTCCATCCAAAAGGGAAATAGATCAGTTTCCATGACTGGGGTTTGATAGGTACAGAAGAGGTAGGGATCATTTCGGGGGAAAACGGGTAGGAAAAGGGAGAGAATACAGTGCAGGGAGAAAAAGCTGAAATTACGGGATATTTAGGGGCAGTAAGAACCCAGTGTAATGGCAACTTCCTGGATTATGTTAAATAAGCTTCTTAAGAAGAATACCATCTTGTATACGACTTACATGGGGGAAATGGAAGGACACGGGAGACATCTATGAAATCAGCAGAAAGATGAACAAACTATGAAGCTAGCAGAAACATCATACAATAGGACACACTCAGGAGAAGTACAATCAAACACTGCTGCACAAGGGGAACTCAGGATATTTCAGGAACATTCCTGACCAAGCCTACAGTGGCCTTAGGACTGATAACCACAGTTTCATGTGGTAAGAAGAGTCCTGATCTCAGAATCTGATGCAACCCCTCCCTTAGACTCTGGCCCCAGACCATCACCAGCTCTCCTAAGCATATTCTTGGTTTTCCAGGAGCTCTGTTTTCTCTCTTAACCTGAGGGCCTTAGGGCAAGTTCCCAAAGCCTAGGCCTTAGACTATTACTGGCTCTGACAAATATGTTCCTGGGTTTCAGAAGGAGCTATGACATTCTCTGTCCATGGGGACCTTGGGGAAAGAAAGCCTAGTTTTATTTATTTTTATTTTTTACTTTTCAAATGGTTGTCACCATGTATCATCTTGCCCATGTGGCAGAACTATGCTTCTCCCAAGAAGAAAACTGAACCTTCAGGGCACACCAGGCCTTACTGTTGATTGTGATCCTGTAATGTCTCAGACAGCAGCTTGTCAGAAGCCTGCTCTTTGATATGGGGATGGGCCTAGTGGCTGGTTGTAAATCAGAGTTGTTTCCTCTCTTTGTGATTTGGAGCCATATTTCTGGACAATCCTGGTGAATCAACATGTGT